GGTTACCCACCTGGCAACTTTACGAGCTGAAGCCGCGCTCCTCCCGCTGCTTCTTCGACTCCTTCAGGAAGACTGTAGTGCCCTGGCTATGGCTGGACGACGACGCCTTCGACTGCTGCTGCTGCACAGGAGATGTGGAGGCAACGGGAACGCACGGCGGGCGGGAAGGGCACAAAGCTGGACTACCGGGGTTCATCTACGCAGCGAGGGGCAGCACTCCGGATTCGAAACTTCAAAAAACAAACCAACTTCAGCTCCCCCCCCTTTTTTTTTCCGAGGCCCCGCGCGGCCTCAAATTGTTGTTGTATTTTTTTTTTGGTTCGTCACGCGACATCCCACCCCAGCCCAGAACACCCCTCGGCAACATTTTTTTTTTTTTGATCGACCCCTTATTTTTGGGGTGCGCCGCACCCCGTGCGCGCTGCGCGCTGCGGCGCACGTGCGGGGTGCAGCGCACCTCGATGCGCCGCAAGTATGATTCATTTATTTATTTGCTGTCCTATTTTTGTCCGTTCAGGCGTCGTTTCGGACTTGCAGTTCGTCCGAACAGACTTTTGGTCTGTTCGGACAAAGGCCACGTTTTGGGCCTTCTTCGTTAGCAGTCAGGCCCTTTCGGGCCAGGTTCGTGTTCGTCCAGTAGCAGACTTCCCCTGATGCATCAGCAGGGAGGGTCTGGACGTCCGGTAGGGACCCAGACCAAGTAGGCCGTTTCGGGCCAGGGCCAGAGGCACACCAGTGAGGCCCAGCGCTACACATAGCTGGGCCAGGCCAGGGCAGACACAGTTTGACTAGCTCACTTCTTGGGCGCCATGCTGCTGGAGCAGAGCGCGACACGGCGCTGCGCTAAGGTGTAGAGGCATAGGTAGGAGGTGAGACGAAGGCCATACCTGCAGCGGCGGTACTTACCTGCGCGCCATAGCTGGGCTCCACGCCTGCGACCTGCACAGAGTGCCGGCGGCAGTTAGTACATGGCGGCAGTTACCTGCAGGTGAGACAACGAGGAGGACAACACCTCCTTCTTCTTCTTCGTCTCGCCCTCCATCTCTTCTTCCTCCTCCCTCCTCCTCCTCCTCCTCCTCCTCCTTCTGCTTTCACAGAGAGAGAGAGAGAGAGAGAGAGAGAGAGAGAGAGAGAGAGAGAGAGAGAGAGAGAGAGAGAGAGTTTACCAGCAGAGGTCACATCGGGCTATGAAGCCCGGGATCTGATCCGACATTTTTATGGCAGACATTGATTGGCCATTCGGTGGGGAGACTATTTCTGGACTTCGCTATCGCGATCTTGGTCTTCTACCTCCTCTCCATCCTCGTCTCGCCTCTCCCCCATCTTCTCATCCATGGTATCTCCCCATGTGCGTGGTCAAGGAGGGACCTTTCTTCCATGTATGCGGTCCCTCCCTTCTCTCTCACATCTGTGGTGTGTGATGGGGTTTCAGTATCTGACAGGTCAGGTCATATCTTTGAGTCTTCCGTTGCGCTACATTATGCTACTTTCGTATGTATCTGGATGTACATTGCTTGTTAATGCTTGGCTGACGCTGCATTGTCCATTCGAGTCCTTTTCATCACTTTGCAGATCCTTGGCTCCATATACATCGCTCAATCGAGCATCTCTCTCTCTCTCTCTCTCTCTCTCTCTCTCTCTCTCTCTCTCTCTCTCTCTCTCACACACACACACACACACACACACACACACACACACACACACACACACACACACATGCACGGGCCCGTCCGTGTACACGTACAGACAGACTACCATTTCATGATTAGTATGCTGTGCAATCCTTGCATGCACAAGGGCCATACTGATCTTCTCTGTATTGTTCCATGTTTAACAGATGCTTGTTCACGTGTTAAAGCGTCAAGGTCTAACCATTTTCAAATGGATGACAAACCTGAAAGGATGGCAGATTGGAAACCGCGCGCTCCAAGAATGCCACTGGATTGACATCTGGCTGGAGAGCAATCCACAAGATTGATTGATGAGAGAACCGTCAGATCATAATCCAAGAGCTCACAAAGCTAGTTGTCCAGCCATGGACTCAACAAATTGACTTCATTGCACTCCAATGAGATTATGAGACCATGACAAAGTCGACGTGTATAAAAGTAACATAATCATGACCATTCTTGCATTCATCTGCTAACCATAAAATTACCATAACCTAACAAACTACTATCTTGTGTGTGTACATGAGGGACAGGGAGTTAAATGACAGCGAAGGATAGGAAAGAGAGGTATATGAGACTCCGAACACCCAACAGGAGGAGAACGAGCTTTGATCGAATGGGGAACGAAGTTCGGAGTCATGGAGGGATGCTAAAAGGAGGCATGGTGAATGATGAGGAGGACGTGGGTCAGTTTTCAGCCATGCGTTGAGGATATATGGATGCGCATATGTGACCAACTTGCAGACACAAATACCCATGACCTGAACTCCAAGCCACTCACTGAGACGGCGAACGAGGTTCTAACATTTATAGAGGCAAGTTCGAAGCCATCGAGGGAGGTCAGCTGGAGGTCTGAAGAAAGGTCTGGAGAAAGCAAGCAGCTTCATAATGAGATGTGCACGTAGGTTCAGAGGCATCGAGAGAGATCTCACAAAGGTAATGACGAGGTTTGGCAGCATGTAGCCATACTAGGAGAGGCTGTGAGAGACGGTTTGACCGTTCAACAGGGTAAGGTGGGGAGGTTGAGAGGAGGTGTAGGAGGTTCGCAGACAGCTTCAGGGAAGGTTTAGATCAATCATAGAGATCGCAGAGGGAGGTTTGGGAGGGAGAGAGAGAAAGAGAGAGAGAGACAGACAGACAGACAGACAGACAGACAGACAGAGACAGAGACAGAGAGAGGGAAAGAGAGAGAGAGTGAGAGAGGGAGAGAGAGAGGGGGAGAGAGAGAGAGCGATCCCGACTCGATCGCGAC